TTTGCTCTTGCGTTCTAGATCTGGATGTGTTGGCGGTTATGTTGATGTGCCGTCTACCCTCGAAGTGCACCTGGCGTTCACATCCCGGCAAGGTTGCGGCTGTCGAGCAAGCCGACGTGCCCCGATATGGGCTCCTCTAGACGCACTGAATGATAGAACAATCACGGAAAAGGGGAAGATGCAGCATTTGACATAATGCCTTCAGTGTGGTTCGGGTAGTGAGGCTTGCGAACGGCAGAGGTACCGGGTCTCGAGCCCTTGGGACTCTACAATCTGACAGGCGTACCAATGTAAACCTTTAATTTGAGCATTCCCTTCCCTAAGATGCAACAAGAACAAGCATATGTACTTCCGTCTACGCAAAAACTGTCAGGCGCAACATCTGAAAATTCAATCCCAGCAATCTTCAATCAACTTCCCTTCTCTCTCCATGTTAGCAACGAACTCCTTCGCCTCGGCCTCCGTCTTCTGCCCGTACTGTTCGAGCGCACCCTGCACCGCAGCCTTAACTCCCGCCGGCATCTTGTTCGAAGACCTGGGAGAAGCGCAGTGAGCTGGCCTGCGACCCCGAGTAGAAGGATGCGTGCTCACCCAGAAATGTACACATGCGCGCCCTGCACGCCCACGAGCTCCCATATGCGCTCCGCGTCTGCGGCGATGAGGTCCTGTACGTACATGCGCTTCACGCCAGGCGGGCCGTCGCGCGAGCATGCGACGCGGTACTCGAGGTGCTTGTCTCCGTCGCCGGCGAGCGCAGCGAACTCCGTGCGGTAATGCTGGTCCTTCGTCGCAGAACGACAGCCCTGGTACAGCGTGTTCGCTGCAGGCGGCAAACCGTTAGTACATTGTCACGAGGCCATACCCGGCAACACACCTTTTGCGCCCCGCGCGACGCGTTCCTCGATGAGCGCACGCATGGGTGCTATGCCAGTGCCAGGCCCAATGCATATTACGGGCGTGGCTTTGTCAGGAGGTAACACTATGATGCCCTTCTTGAGACGAATTTGAAGTTTATCCCCTTTAATGCTGGCTTAGAACGATAAAGCGCATTGACTGAGGTGAGGCGTACCTGGCTGTAATGCCGCGAGATACGTGGTGGCTACACCCCGTCTTGGTATTTTCAGCTTCGTCTTGTATTTCACGATGGCTACACACAGTTGTATGCGCCATGGGTTCCGCTTTACAGTGGTTGAGCATCACGATAGAAAAGCAGGCGGGGCAAAGGATTTACCAGCGCCGAGCTCGCTATCGAGAACTCACGAGGCCGCAGGGGCGGGAACAGGTCGAACAGGTATTCTTTCGGTACTTTGGCGCTTCTGAACTCTTCGAAGACCTCTCGAATCGTGCGTCTCACGCTCTGGCAATAGTCGTACAAGTCGTCCTGCATCAAGATCAGCCAAAGTCAAAGCCTACCAGGCTCATGAAGGAAGACTTACAGCACCCTCAGGTGACAAGAACTCGTCGAGCTTCTCCCGCTCGAATTCGTTGGGTGTGAAGTGTCTTAGCAGAGCGAAGAACGACCGTCGCGGAACAGAATTGATGTCCAGGTAGCGCATAAAGAGGGTTCTCAAAGTAAGACTTCGCGGGAGGCGAGTCGGCAACGACTGATCTGGCAGGACGTGCTTCACAGCGAAAGACTTGTCGGCTTCGTCAAGCCAGCCAACACATTGCAGGAAGGCGTCGACATCTGTTGCACACGCTTCTGGTTCGATAACTGCGATGTCTCCTGGCGAGTAGCTGCAGGTGGTGAATAGGAAGTGCGCATGGGAGGTCAAACGACGTACTCCAAGTCTTCATCGAAGTCAAGGTCGAAATGCCGGACGTCTTGATACCAATCTGGAGCAGTTATGCGTGTATTGCTAGAGACAGTGGCCGTGTGGTATCCTTTGAACAAGCCGGTATCCGGCCACAAGGCGGCCGGTTCACCTTCAATGATGCTCACACGAGGTTCCAGGATAACGTCCGGCTTAATCTCAAGGCCGGAAGGCAGTGGGAACAACTCGAGGAGCGTGTCCGACAGGGACTTCATCCACGGGTCTAAGGCACCATCCATTCTTGCTCGCGCAGGGTATCAGCGCAAACAAGCGGCATCACATGGAAGAACTCACCCGAGCTGGTGTCGGTCGTCTGCCTCCCCTCTATCAACGGCCTTGGTTGCACCAAGGGTCAGAAGCCGCCGCTCGAGCATCTTCGCAGGCCAGCAAAACTTCTCGTATGCGGTGTCGCCGAGGCCAAAGACGGCAAACTCGAGGTGGTCGAACAGGTCGTGCGGGAGGTCAGCACGAAGAAGTGACGTCCAGAATCGTGTCATCGAGCGCGGCTCACGGCCTGAGCCCGTCGTTGAGATTATAAAAATAATGAGATGCGTCGAAAAAATGTCGTCCTGAGAGGATTTTTGTCAGATGCTCTGAGTTGCATGAAACAGAAGAGCATACGACTTGGTACTCGTCTATGCTGTACAGCCGCACGGCAAAGTGCAAACGTCGACATAGCCTAGCAATACGTTCTGCAACATCTTGTGCATTTCCAGTTTCCGTCGCATAGAGGATAGTGAGCTCTCGATTGTCGGGCAGGTTGTGGTTGTGAGCAGAGACGGACATCCTTGACTTAGGCTAGTCCCGCGTTATCTGATAAGTTTATCCGGTCTAGGCGCTTAGATCATCTCCCCGCGCGCTTTGTTCAAGCTTCGCATGCTACTTATCTATTCTCTGCTTTGCCGAGCTGACATACCTGGGAATCTGGTGAGCAAGTACAGGGAATGTTAGGCTATTACGAGAATTGGGACGACGGAGATCGATTTGGTCAAGTCCTGGCGTTCTCTCGCTCTGGCCACAGCCGTTGTCGTCGCCGCTCGACCTCAGATCGGCAACATGCGAGGCGGGACTCGGAAAAGTTGGTGGCATCCAGTGCAGCCCTAACATAAATCTGCTAGCAGGAGATCAGTATCTGCTGGTGGTCGAAAATGCTGATTGTCCCCATCGGCCTGTGAACAGTAACGAGGGACTACTCTCTGTCGGTAGGCTCTCCAGAACGAACGTCCACCAAGCTCGATGCATAGCCACTCTCGGTCCTGCTGTGGAACACGCGCATGACAGCATCTTCTTGTATCGACGCGGAGTTGAGGATCTGTGAAGACTCGTCGTGCGCACTGCCGTCGTACAATGACTTCGACAGAGGCCCGTGCGACATGTCGCCACTTGCATTTGCACCAGAGCACGAACCTAAACTGTCAGCAGGCCATTCAACTCACCAACCAGCGCGGACAGAAACCGGATCGCATCTGCTGCGCCTTCGCCGTACGGACATTCAACTGAGGCGGTGAGTGGGTATTCCTTCACTATAACCGTTGATGACGCCGTGAAGTCTTCCTAGACGTAGAACTGCATACAGTGCGCCTGCAACAATGTCCGTGAGAAGTTAGAACTTCACAGACGCGCACGGTGGCGGAGATCATGCCTTCAGGTACAACGGTAAATGTTGCATGTGACCCACTGCACGCAGGTGATTCTCGACGTGGGTGTTGGCAATAGCACAGACATATCCAAGTGAGCTGCGGAGACAGTATTGAGTCCTTTCACGCCTACCATCAGCTTGTGTTTGACGACTCTAATCATGCCGCGGCGCTTCCGTGCCCCCCGCTCGGTGTACTCGTCGCTATTGGCAGAAAAAAAGACCGCTATCTTGATGGTACGGGAACACTAACAGAATTGAAATAGGGAAACAGCCGTCGATTATCGCTGTCCAGTTAATAGTAAGGCATCTCAACCGAAGTTGGAACAGCAGATCTAGATGGAAAAGCACTGGTTAGCGGATTGAGTTCCAGGCACTGCTGCTGCGAGTATAAGTACAACGTGCCAGTGGTGCCAGTACCTTCGCAATGTCAGGACTCTCAACAAACATGGCAGCTGGCATGCCTCGGTCTGCCTCCTCAATGCTACTGCTCTCGACTGAACTATGTTCCCTAGACAGCACACTTGGCGCAATAGTCATCGGTATGCCAGAGTCGTTTCGGGCGCAACGCCACCACTCACCGATTCATCAAACAGCCGAAATCCTCGTAGCAGTGTGAGCATTACCAGACTATTGCGAGCCGACGGAACTTTTTGACACCGCCGTTCATGACAGGCTATATGGCATCACCAGCATGCAGGTCTATATCTACTTTCACTGTAGCCCTCGTGATAGCCGACTCGTCAAGCGAACTGTGCGTGCCTTCGTGTTTATATCATCTGTGCTCATTCACGGCCATAGATATTCTTCTTATGGTATGTCATGCAAAATTTTGACTTAACAACGGCACTCATGCACGATACAAGGATTCTCAGCAGCATTTATCTAGTGTTCGCTTCGCATGCAGTCTACTATTATGCCGTAACAAATTTCATGAACCCATTGGCTGCAACAAAGTATTCATGGTGTGTTCTATATCTCATAGCAAATCTGAGACTCGTGCCCACTCGTGCCCCGGAAATTCAGGAGCCTAGTGGCTAATTTATTTGTTGGCGTGAGTGCGATGTTTACCCTCGACTACTCAGGGGCTGATATCCTCGGATTAGGACTTGATTGAGATCATTGTCACCCTGTACGTCGTCTCGGAAGAGTACTCTGGCCCCGCGCAGATCTGATCGTTGGCAAGCAGTACTTTCGCGTACAGAATTTATATACGTGCGTACGCAGCCAACGAATTGCTTTTGCCAGGCAGCTCATAGTATAATCAGTCAGCGGACGCAAATGGCCCCTCATACTCATCGTAAGTCATCGGTTATGAGGGCTATATCAGTGTGGTTCTGAAGATACTATAGATATTACCCCAGGTTGCCAGCTGCAGTAGGTTTTCACGGTCACGCTGATCATTTCTCAAACTCACAGCCTGTTTTCTACAGTCGGAACCATTGGTAAGCATTAATTCAATTCAGAGTTGTCTTTACTATATTTCAAACTTGCCTACTATTAGCCACGGGCGTAGTCGAGTAAGCTCTCAGCCCTCCCCCTTCTTATTCCTTGCTCACAGGCTTCAGTGAAATATTCCCCATCAATACAGTTGCACGAAGCCTGGAACTTAATGGTGTAAGTCGGTTGCAACTTCTATTTATCTTCTACATTTTGACGCCAGTGAAGCGGGTGTGGTGTATCATTTTCAGCCTTCAAGCGTTCACAGACTGCGCAATCGCAGTAACTCTCTGTACAATTCTCATGAAACATCATACAAGCTTCAAGAGGTGCGCCCCATCTTGTACTTTGATTTATACTCACAGCATTGCCACATCGCAGAACCAACTCGTTGATTCGTGTCCTCGTTCTATATAGCATTGGTACTTGCGCGCTAACGAGGTGCGTATTCCAATGTTTTATATGGCTCCGGAAACTCAGGCTCGAGCAGCTCCGTTTCTATTGCATCTGCCATCACGGTACGGGCCCATTCTGAGTGGCCTGCGTCCGCTTGAAAACATCACGGCTGACCAAGTCCAAAGATCATAGCAATGCCTTGCAGCGATGCATACATTGCCTTCGCCATGGTCCTCCCAAAATGTTCGTCTAGCATCTTCAGTCTGAGTCCTGCTATCTGATGCTCACATGCCGGCGCAGTAATGTGCAACTCCTTACTTGCGCTGCTCAACTCACGCGAGACGCTACGTAACATGTGTGCCGGCCACATCATATCTATCCACCCTTCGGACCTCACAGGAACGACCAACGATTCGGGCCTGTCGAATGCCAGTCTTTGAGCGGCACGCGTTGAGGATGAGGAAGCCAATAATCGGGTGCGTTACTTCTTATAGACCGCTTATACTTGCGCTCACAGTCACCAGACTTGAGAAGCACTGCCAACTAAGCTTTGTCTCGTATCAATTTCTCGTTAATATGCTCCTTTCGTCACTGATCACTTGCATTACGGAAGTCGTCGAAGTATTTATGTAACACATTGATTTGGCTGCAACAAGTGGCCGGTCGGACGGTTTAAAGACACTGACACGACACTAGCACGAAGTCTCAAGGAGACAGATATTGGCTTTTTTGTATTCTGATACATGCTCGGTTGTATCGCGACCCGCCGTTATCGTTGTCGCCACTGCATCACAGAGAGTGATGCGCGACTCTTCAAACTCACGCTCGCAGGTGTGACAGGCCCACTGTGAATATAAGCTATGTCGCCGTTAACAGCAGCTCGTTGCATTGCTGACAAGAATGTCGCGAAATTGAGTGGTATTAAAATAATGCAACTAAGACTGTCATCGACTTGCCCATATCTCAAGACCGGAGACGGCAGCATAATGAGAAATGGGCGCTGAGCTTAGACAAACGATGTCACTACTCCAAATCTCACAGAGGACCTCTATCATTGTATCCGTACACTGGATAATCAATGGCGTTCTGAGCAAACATCGCGATGCTGTAGCTTTAAACATCAGTCATGATCGCACAGAAGGAATGTTGCGCCGCCGTCAACTTCATCGGTTGTGTCGAATATACCGGCCTCTTCCCATCACTCATGTAAGCATTCCGCAAGTTTAGGTGCTCGGGATGGGGGCCTGAATCCTGTGCAAGGATCCGTCTCGGTGCGCGACGGTAAGTGACAAGCCGCCCCCGTGAGACCATTCTCAACCACAGCTGCGAGCCGTAGGTCGCGTAACAGCCGCTGAGGTACCAGCCATGCCGGAATGTCCATTTGGATTCCACGCTCTGCCCAGAGCACAGGCCGCATCGCATCACTTCGCACCGAGGGTCCTGAAAGTGAACGGCGAGCGCGTGCAGCGCAACGGCGATGGTAAAGCCGTGCGAGGATGAAACGACCATATTTTATTCACTAGAAGAGTGCAGCACAGTTTTTTTTTAGCGAAGTGAATAGTAGAACTGGATGTTCTCGACAGTCGATGCG